AGGGGGGGGGGGGGGGGGGGGGGGGGGGGAGATGGGGATATTGGGCGAGAGGCTATGTCCCAGGTGTTTTAAATATTCCAGACTTCGCAGACTTTCCATCACGCCTGAAGATGATCGTCTCACCGCTGCTCCTTGTGCAACAGACACAGTATGCGATTGATATCCATTAATTGATTTTGCCAGCAAAGACGTACGATACGGCCTGGAAACCAACAAGCACACATGGTTGTTAAGACGTGCGGTCAGAAGCGGGAAGAATCAGAAGAATTAAATATTCACGTGATGCATGCTCGGCAAGGGGGCAAAGAGGTTTCAAGTCCAGTAAGCACCAAAGATCAGCTAAGCACCAGCTTCAGTAAGCTGACAGTAAGACAGAGGTAGCATCCAGCCCGTGCTGGTCAGTATGGCAGGCTTAGAAAATAGCGAAACTCAAGCTCTGAGCAGGTTTGTGCTCCCTGGGTTGGTTGCTAGATATAGCCTGCTCAGGTGTTTGGTCGGTCCGGTATCCTCCACCGTTTGATGAACCAGAAGAAGTGCAGGGACAAGAGAGAAGCAGGAGTAGAACGTAGAAGAAAGGAAGCTGCAAGCAGTGGCCTAGAAGAAGATCCGCGGTGACAAGTGCCGATGCCAAGCACCCGGGGTGAAGTTATGCCGAATACCGAAGTCCGAACGTTGACCGAGCTTCTCCAGAGGGCGTTATGGCTCCACTTTGCAGACCTTAACCTGTGAATATCTTATCGTTATTCTGCACTTTGAAGTGAACATTAGAACAAAATGTATGTATACAAATGGTTGGAAGATATACCGAAGCGGTGGGAAGACAGAAGAATGGAGAAGTTACGTAACCCATCCGGCTTCTAAAGGTAATTCGTTGCCCACTTGAGACCACCATGCGGTTCCCCAACCATTGTTCGCTCTCGACCCTCGGCGTAATGTACTTTATATGAGTTCTCCGAGACACAAAGTTATTAAATGACAGAGCCCCGCACGGCACCTGCACTACATTCATGCGGATCCACTAATCAGCCGTCGTGAGAATGCCGGAGTTCGGCCCGGCCACACCTACGCCGCACGGCGACCCCACGCCCGGACCTCTGCTTATCCACATTACCCAGAGCACCGGGGGTTTATCGGATTCCTATCTGGTATGATATATATACCTCTCCCGGCCTTGGCCAAACTCTGCGTTTCATCCCCCGTACCACCACCCCGATCCTCCAGAAGGACACCTACCAATGCCACAAGTCGTATTCCACGATCAGAAGAACTACCAGGGTGCGAAGCCTATCGGGCTTGACAATCCTATTCCGCAGCTCGCGGTCGGGAAAGAGGACGAGCCCCAGTGGCTCACTGATTTCCAGCGTGATGGTGTGCGTCTACCTTTCCCCTTACTTCCCGAAGCACTCACTCAGACATTCCGTTCCGCAGTACGTCGTCGTCAAGAGTGTAGTCGATAGAGAGAAAGCGTTGAACTACTATGCCAATGCTGGCGAGGACTGGCTCGAAGGCTTCAAGATGGGCTACAAGAGGGACGACCCCTCGACGTGGGACGCGAAGAACCTCCCTCGGTCGAACCACGGCGGCCTGTACTCGCAGTACAGCTTTGCCCATGCCCAGTTCGTCTGGGACGCAAAGACGGAGCCCAAGATCGTTGAGCTGTTCGAGACGCTCTGGGGGACGAAGGAGCTCACGGTCTCGTTTGGTGAGCTAGGCCTGCCACACATCCGCATGGTCTGGCTCAACAACAACAGATGGGGGAAGCCTCGCCGTGCCCATCCCGTTTGATCAGGTGCAGGGGAACGCTAAGCCCTGGCCGCACTCGGACCAGAGCGCCTACCGCCCGCAGAGGCACTGCGTCCAAGGCTTGCTGAACCTTGTACGCCTCTCCTTCTCCATCTATCCCATTCCTGACCCGTCCTCGTGTTGCAGCTCCCTAACGGACCAGACGACGGGGGTCTCACAGTGCTCAAAGGGAGTGCGAACCTCTTCGAGCAGTACTTCAAAGAACACATGCACCTCGAGCCTCCCGAGAAATGGCCCAGGAGGGACGGGTTCCAATGGACCGAAGACGAGCTCAAGTGGTTCTACGACAAGGGGTGTGAGTGGGTCAAGCCCGTTATGGAACCGGGAGACTTTGTCCTCTGGGACAGTAGGGAGGTGCACTATGGTGACTTTCCCAAGTTGCAGAACAAGCGGTTCGCGATCTGTCAGTCTCCTTCCCCCCTCCTTACCCCAGAGCTGGCTAATCCCTTCCGGTAGACATCTGCTACAAACCCATGTCGGCTATGTCCCCGGAACAGCAAGAGCGCAAACTCGAGGCTTTCCGCCGTGGATATTGTACGACCCATGACCCGTGCGACTTTTTGATCAAAGGCGACCAGGAAGCGGAGTGGAACGTCAATTTCCCGTATGCGAAGCCGGTAATTAACGAGCAGGGGCAGAAGGCGATTGGATTGATTCCCTATTAAGTTGCCTTGGGACGCGTTGAATGGGTTGTGGGATATTGCGCTGTGTAATAACAGATTTGGAATTGAGTTTCTTTTGCTAAAGATCCATGTTTCCCGAAGCTACTTGATGAGACTTGTATGTGATGTCGAAACACAACAACGTCCTCCGAGAGGGGACATACCAATTTAGCGTGCCAAATCCCTACCAGCGTAGCGGATACCTCCGTCTGACCCCGTTTGCCTCCGAAACAGAGGCCGGAAGCAGATCTGCATGCTACCCACACACTACCCACATGCTACCCACATGCTATGTTGGTGTACACTATGTTCCCTGCCAAACACGGAATTCCCTTGTATGCCACCCTTTACAGAAGCATCCTCACCCCCAGACTTTCATATATACACATATCTTTACTCATGTTTCTTATTAAAAAGTATCATTTAACCCCCTTGCAATCCTTCCAATACCCTTGTTGTCCTCCTCTGTGTCCCATCTCCAGTAGACCCTATTAGCATATAGATGTGTTGGAGTCTATTTCTGCACCACCACCCCCTATGCACATAGCATGTACACATTCTGCCTTTCCCTAACATCAGACCAACACCACACAGGGCTTGCCAATACCATCAGTATTGTCAGGGCACCAGCTCATTGCTTGGTCAAGAGACATGACTAAGCCTTTATGACATGGAAGTAGCTGGTATACCTTGGCATGTGCTGGAACCTGCT